AAGAAGCACTGAAGGGGCTGGGAGCGTAGCTCAGCTGGTAAAGTGCTTGCTTTGTAAGGATCAAGACCTGAGTCCAAGTGACAGAGTCTGGGTGTGGCAGCGTGCACAGTGAGCTCACAATCCTGACGACTTGGTCAACTTTAGACCAGTGAGAGACTCTGTCTCAAAAAATAAGTTGGACAGCACCTAAGGAACGGCAGCTGAGCCTGTCCTCCGGCCTCTTTATGCACATGCTCACACGTGTACTTGCACATACTTCTGTGTATACACACAGACACTGAGAAGCACTGAGGTCAGAATGACAGAGGCCAGCCACAGGCCAGCCAGGTAGAAATGCTGCTTCTTTATTCAGTAAGCACCAAGACAGACTATTTCGGATAAATTGATTGCCTGTCTGAGGCTTCCTTCTCCCCTCTCCTGGCTCTGCCAACCTCCTGTGGTCTCTGCTTCCTACTTAGTGATTACGAAAAGTCAGCCACTGAATATGTAATGCAGCCACGCCTCAGAAGCTCCAGCTAGAAGGTGAGAGGGGACCTTGGCTCTCCGATCTATATCACAGAGGCTGTGAACATTATCGAGGGAGAGTTTCACACTAAGAGGAAGGCAGGCTCTCTTTTTAGGAAGCCTTTTGCCAAGTGTAAAAAAAAAAAAGTTTTTTTTAAAGATAGGAATGGCTGTCATAGCAGAACAGTTTTGAAGTCAAGGCAATTCTTGGAGAACTACAAATAGCAACCAAATGTTTTCTAATTATGTGCTAACGGCATCCAGAACGTTGCTGAATATTCCCATTACTGCAGGATCTGAGGGCCTGATTTCACTGGGGACTCTGCATGTATGTATCCAGACAGAAGAGCTCTCCTCCATAGAAGCCCACACAACCTTTCAATACCCTTTGGTACTCGTCCAAATAGATACGAAGTTCTTGAAAATAAAAGCGTTTTGGATGAGACAGTTGCAGTGAACTGGGATTTTATTCAGTGGAAGCAAACGAGGAAATAAAATGTGGCTTCATGATTTATACATAAGCAATAACGGTTAAAGCTAGTATTAAAATACAATGTTTTTCAGCTGCTTACATTTTCATAGTTTTAATTTATGGGATTAACATGAATGTCATACAAAAAGAGAAGACATAGATGTACCCGAATATTTTATATTAGCATCTGCTAATTGTACAAAATAATGAGTTACATCGTGATATTTTAATACTCGTATATAAGGTAGAATAAAAAATAGAATCTGTTAGATGTGGGTTTCATAGAGCTAGTTGAGGCTATAGATGCTTCTAAGGGAGAAAAAGCCATCAAAAACCCTACTCAGCCATGAACCCCATGGGCTACAGCAACCAGCACAGCACGGAATTCCCATGAGGACAATAGTGGCATGGATGTTGTGGAAATAACTAACTGTACTCTGTGACTGGATTCAAGGCCCACTCCACAGGAGGGAACACATGCCTGGTACTGTAAATCTGACTGAGAAAGCATGGCTGGGAGTTGACAAGACTGCAGGGGGAAGCTTACCACTATTAATCTGCTAAATGAACACAGTACCAAACTGCCCGCTAAATTTGTATCTCTCTCTCTACCAATAGATTAGTGTAGCACTCAGCCCTTATCCGAGAAGAGTCTGTGCAGTAGACAGCAATGAAAGCAGAAACTCACAAGCCGATCAAAAGGCATAGGTTAAATGTCTGTGGAGGGTTCAGTCATCAACGGGACATCTATACTCCTTCCCAAGATAAAGAAGGAAGAGGAGGAGGAGGAAGAGAAGAGAGGAAGGGAGGAGGGGAGGGGAAGAGGAAACAGAGGAGAAAGGGAGAAAAGGAAGAAAGGAGGGGGGAAGGAGGAGGAAGAAGAGGAGGAGAAGGAAGAGGAGGAAAAATATCGTCAAAGTCAGAGATATGGGCAGATGAAGACAAAACAGTGTCTTCTGGACATGACAGGACATGTACTCGTGAACTCATAGGAACAGTGATAATCTACGTAAGTCCTACACAAGATCAAGCCAGCCAACATTACAACATGGGATGGAGGGGGGCTTAAAAAACCACTACCCCAAGCTGAGAAGCTATTAACAGTTCACGGCTATTGGGGGAGGAGAGACAGCTGTTTTCACAGTGTGTCTCTGGGTTGTATACCGTACTCCAGTGGATGGCCCCACACACTCATGAGTGTATGAGCAGAAGTGTGAGCTTAGGAAGGGTGGATCTCGGCGGAGTTACAGAAAGGAGTGGAAAGGTAAATATGATCAATTTCTATACATGTATGTATAAAATTCTCAAAGAATTAATAGATATACTGTATTTTCTTGAAAGAAAAAAAATAAATCTGTCAGTTGTGGCGCACGCCTATAATCCCTAGGATTTGGGAAATAGAGGTGAGGAGATTAGGAACTCATGGTCATCCTTGGCTACATAGTGAGTTCAAGGACAGCCTGGGCTTCATGAGATCCTGTCTCAAAAAAAAAAAAATCTAGTTTTGCTAGAGCTATGACCACATGATGGAGCATGTTCCCAAACTGCATGGCTTGTGGCAACTGGACACCCTTTCGGAAGAATCTGTCTTTGTTTCCTTAAACCAAATGATCAAGAGTTACTAGATGAGACAAAATAGAGAACAAAAACCCAGGACCCAGAAGACCGGCATCTGCCCTCACCTGTCAGTAGAGGGCTTCAGTGACCTTGAGCACAGTCTCCAGTCTGTTTCCTACCTACCTACCAAAACACTACAGGACCTCACCAGTGCATCATGGGAACGCAATCTCTCCCACCACAGGCCTGATCCAACTGGCATCCTTCTAAGGGTCTTACTAATGTATTTTTCAAGTAAACCCTGCTAGAGGATGGAGTGACATTCTCTCCCAAGGTCGCTGTCCCTACAGTGTTTCTCTTGTACTTGAGTAGGGTAACAAGAGCCTGAGAAACTGGAAACCACACCACACAGCCTAGGACCCTGTTCTCACTATCTTCTGGGCTCCTTGCCTGGTAGCTGCCCCTAGTGGTAGGTCATGGGAACACATCTGTTTAGCATCCTGTCATGTATACTTCCTGTATCGCCTTTCCTCCCAATGATCAAAATCCATATCTATGCAGATGGTCTAGACATTCTTATTTGCAGCAAGTGAAAGATTTCCACAGTAATGGGAAGATTGGGGTCCACTGCTATAAATCGTGTAGAATTCGTCCAGAATAGAAAATGGTTACCTTACTCTTAGGAACTAGGACTCAGAGAGCTTAGGGGGGTGGAAGTGGAGTATATGTATTCCAGGTCTCCTGAGGGCTGCCAAAAATTCATAGACACTAAGGCAAATTCTGGCCTTATCTCCTGATGCCTCAATAAAGAGCTGAGACAGCTTCCCTGATCACTCCCCAGTTCCCAGCTTAGAATATATTGACTTATAATAGATATTACTTGATCTGTCCAATGTCATTCCTGTGTATTCACGAAAAGAAAGAGTCTATTATGGGGTGTTTCTCTCTGGAATTCCATAGGTCAGATGAAATCTCGTCATAGGAAATGTCAAATCCACCGTACATGTATACTGTCTTCCTACATTTGTTTAGGTGTCGTCTTCTACAGAGCCTTCCTCCGACTGCTCCCTATAAAGAAAGCCTTATCTCCTCTTTTCCTTCACACGTTAGGTATTTTCTGTGGTAATTTGTCTATGTGCTCTCATCAGAAAGCAAGCTCCCTGAGGATGAGAGAATTCACTTTGCTCAAGGTTATATCTTCATTTGAAGGATGATATACATTTTGGCGGTCAGTAAATATCAAATGAACAGTCGTCAGAGTCCTTCTGAGTGAGCAGAGAATTATTTAGAGATAAGTAGAAATTATCCCATCTGCATCTTCCATGAGTGGAGACAGTGATTTTTAACACAGAGAGACAACAATTATTCAGCCTGTCTCCAACATTCTCCTGTCTCAACCTCTATAGCTAAAGATGGGCAGTGTGCAGGGAGAGGTCAAGCATTGTCAACCTGACCGGATTGGACTGAACAAGGAGATGCTTCTCTGGGTGTGTCTGCGAAGGCATTTCCAGGAAGATGCAACTGAGGAGGGAGGACCCACTCTGAATTTATGGGACACCATCCCATAGTCTGGGAGAGGATCTCAAACTAACCTAAATGGAAACAAAGGGGCCTGGGAGATGTCTCAGCAGGTAAAGAATTTGCTGGACAACCCTGAGGCAGGAGTTTGGTCATCGGATCCCATGGCAGAAAGAGATCGGATGCTTTCATGTTGTCCTCCGGACTCCTCAGGGCTCACAGAGCAGTGATCCATCCCATAATGACATGGATGCCATGGCACCACATACGATGCATGGCACCACATACGGTGATCATAATCTTTAAGGGTAAAAGCAGCCAGCTGAGCACCGGCTATTCCTATCCTGTTTCCTGGTCAGCACAATAAAACCACTCCCCCTTTTCAGCCACACCGTCCTTCCCATGAGAAAATGTATCTTCTGAACTGTGAGCCAAGCCACACTCTCTGAGGTGTAGTCACAGGCAAGGCGTCTCAATGTAAAGGTTCATAACTATTTTTCCTTGCTGACTGTCAAAATGGACAGTTGGAGGGGGTTGGAGCGATGGCTCAGCAGTTCTTCCAGAGGTACTGAGTTCAATTCCCAGCACCCACATAGTAGCTCACAACCATCTGTAATGGGAATCTGATTCCCTCTCCTGGTGTGTGTGAAGACACAGCACACTCATAAAATAAATAATTAATAAATTAAATGTTTAAAAAATGGACAGCTTGTTATCTAATTCCGTATGGGAATTAGATACAATGATACATTTTGATACAATGATGATGCCTCTTTCTGTCTGGGTTTTAGTAAACACTGCATGTTTTTTTCCATAGGGGGAAAAATGTCCCAAATAAGAAAAGACTTGGTGTTCACTAATAAGATTATTCAAAAGGAAGGCATCTTCCTGAACTACCTTCGAACTACAAAGGTGTTTCTGTCAGCGGCTGCAGGGACAGGGCACTTACTGCTGGAGCAGGTGGCTTCTTTAGGGCTGGAAGATATCGGCTGTGCACAGAGCTGACAAAGGCAGTCTCTCCCATTGAATGTGACTCGGTCTCCGGGTGGAAACGGGCGCCTGGAGACAGAAAGACATTTGCCCTCAGAGTTATTCCAGCAATTTCATTCTCTCTCCTCACCCCTTTGCCTGCTACCCTCCCGTGCAAATTGATTTCTTGGAGGAGCAGCAGGCAGAATGTTTGAAATGTGGCCATGCCCCAAGCCTGCCAGCTGGACATGGGCCAAACAAATGTACGCGCTTCATTGTGAGATGCAAAGAGCACTGGTCCTGCAGGCTCCCTGCTTGGAGAGTAGCATGGTTTAGCGCCATTCTAAGGTGGAGGGGTGTCTGAGCAAATGACTCCTCGGGGCCCACAGAGCAGTGATTTCCATAAGGAAATTCTTCACTAAAAACAAAACAGAAACAAAACGCAACATAACCCACTTTAAATGCCATGAATTCCCACTGAAGCTCCCGGCACATCCCTAAGAGAACAGCTACAGGAGAAGTGGGGGCCCTCTTGGTCCCGTATTCTGTAGTGACTATATGGAGTCAGACTGTCCTCTCTGGACATCTGAATTTGCAAAGCCCTGAAGAACCCAATCCCTCATAATCTGCTGTAAACATGTTTGAGAATTAGTCACAGGCTCAGTGGTTAAGAGCACTTGTTCTTGCAGAAGTCCCAGGTTCAGCAGTACCCAGGTGGCAGCTCACGGCCATCTATAATGCCAGTTCCAGGAGATCCAATGCCCTCTTCTGACCTCCATAGGCACCTGGCATGCACAGGGTAAACTTACATGCAGCCCAAGCATTCACAGACATAAAATAGACGTAAAAGTCAGTAGCAGGCTCTGTGTCAGGAAGACACGTTCCTCTCCTGCTGGACCTCCGTCAGCAACAGCACACTGCACAAAAGTGCACCTTCTGCACACATGTTAGCTTTCCAAAGCTTGCTTACTATGTCAAGCCAGTTTACCAACAATCTTCAACAATGTGAGTTTCCTAGTGTGGGACTGTCAGTTAGGAAATGTGGAACTCGAAAGACAGACATGGGCAAGTCAGAATTCATCAGTCTGGAGCAAGTCCACGCTTCCTGATCTGCACCAGTATGTTCACAACCCTTAGCCCATCTCCCCATAGCCTAAGGCTGGTAACTAACCATGCACTCACAGGAACAGCTGGACTTAGCCCCACCTATATGACAGATACCAGTTATCAAATGTGTGGGGAGGGGGAGATTGTAGTCTTGCACCTTTGAATATTAAAAGTCCCCAGTTCAGTGGCTTCCTCTCTGAAGTGGCTTTGCCCCTTTTCACTGGAAAGATAAAGAGGCCACGGGCAGGGACAGGCCTCATCTACCTGACTTAGACCTGTGTCAATAATTAAAACTACACCGTGGTGCTGCAGGGGACCCCTTGCTTCTCACTCATCACTACACCTGAACAAGTCCCTCGTCTGTTCCGTGAGGGGAATATCAGAGGGTTATGGGCCTATAAACACAGTACAGCGAGCACATGTTCTTTGGTCTCCACTCAGGGACGGGACCTGGGTGAGGCAAGCAATATCCTTGGGGCAAGTACAGGGGCTCACTGCCCAGGGCTGACCCAGCTCTTGGGGGGCACTGATAACAAGTGTGCCTTTATGTGTATCACCCCAGGAGTGTGGCTGGCTCCCTTCCACACAGATCCTCTGTGGTACAAGCCAGACTCCGTGTACTACAGGAGTCATAATGTGTGGCTCCCAAACACAATATAGCACATCCCCCTCCTGTGCCAGTTTCCTTCCCTCAGACTGATCATTTTCATTAAGCTGTCTTATACAGACACCTAACGATCAGAAGTTTCCCCTAAAACATCAATGACTAGTGTCTAGGTTTTGTAAACCATTTGATCTCTGTCATAATTCCTCAACCCTGCCGCTGTACCTGAAAGAAGTCCTAACTCCTATACAGACACATAGACAATGTTATTTAAGTGAAAGACCTAAAGCCAGGCATAGTGGCGCATGCCTTCATGGCCCAGCACTCGAGAGGCAGAGGCGGGAGGATCTCTAGGAGTTCAAGGCCAGCCTGATTTACACAGTTCCAGGACAGCCAGTGCTGTATAATGAGACTCTATCTCTAACAAAACAAAGAAAGAAACAAAAAAGAACTAAAGACTAATGATCTGACCAGTGAGCTGTTGCCAACCATCACAAACTACAGCAAAGATACCATCTCATCTCTAGCAGGAGGAGGTTGTGCTGTCTTGGCTGGGCTGATCTTGAATGCCTGTGTTCAAAGAATTCTCCCACCTCTGCCTTCTGAATGTGGGACTGTGGGCCCACAGTTCAATGCCCAGCTAAAAGAGGCTACATAACAAGTTCACATAATCACCTACATTTCCAAATGAGCTTTGTCCTTCTAAGCAGCTATCTGTTCCCTACAGTGTCGTCTTTATTAAAACTTTCCTGAGGTCCAGCCCCCTTCGGGCTTGAGATACAGCCCCTTACAAACTACCATACTGCTTTACAGAGGATACGAATAAAGCTTTCCAACTATACTGTACTTTAACCAAGAATGAACAGGCAAGAAGAAACCAAGAGCCAGGAAGAGCCATGTCGAGAAATATGTTGAGTTTAAGACTCTGTACTCTCAGGACCAGAGGAGGCTGTCAAAGCTTTGGATGTTGAAGCCAGTCTGTTGTAGAGAGCCAGAGGCTTGGAAAAGATACTTACTTGCAGATCGTGCAGGCGAAGCAGTTGGGGTGGTAGGTCTTGCCCAGGGCAGTTACCACCTCGCCTTCTACAAACTCCCCACAGCCGTGGCACCTCGTCCCGTACATCCTCTGGTAGTCCAGGGTACACAGATAGTCCCCGTTCTTTATGAAGAAGCCTCCCTGGGCCAGGTCGCAGCCGCACACTGTAGAGAGACAAGTTTATAACTGGTTATCGCCTGCCAAATCTCTGGGTAACATTTGCCTTTTGCCAGATGCTGGTGGCTCCCTGTGCTCTCAATGGTTTGGGGACAGGGAGTGGACTGGCACAAAGAGTCATTTATTATTGAGCTCTGCTTTTTCTCCTGCCGCCCCCTTACTCCATTCCCCTGGGAGCCATGCAATATCTCATACAAGTAAAATCCACTGGCTAGGTTTCAATGGTCTCAGCGGTATCTAAGATTCGGCAACAGTCAGTCAGTCTGTGATGGAAAGATATGCCCGTTTGGGCTCTCTGGGATGCTGACTAAGGTGTCCCTGGCAATGCTGTTAGGAAAGGTGCCCACTGCTTGCCCACACAGCTACTTGATTTGGGCCAAGATCACTGAGTAATAGGTTCCTACTATAGCAACAGCGACAGCTGAAGTTTCCAGTGACCATTTTTTTCCCCACACATTAGAAATCTTTCCCCAAAGCAACAAAGCAGTTGGGGCCCAAACTGTCTCTTTGTGCAAGAAATAAGACACACTGACCATGTGATGTAACGTATGAGACATGAGAATGGGCATGCCAGGAAGGGAAGAAGGGAAGGGACAAATCCAACACAGAATTGTCATCTGTGATCTCAGGACATGCAAAAGAGGACGCTTTGTTGAGTCTGGATTTTGTTATCACTTTTCAAATCGTACATCTGTTCGTGACAGGGACAATGTAGGAAACAGGGTTGCCAGGAGCCTGGGCCTATTCTGCATGCTCAGACAAACTCAAGCATGTCACAACTTGTCCACAAATCAAGCCTAGAGCAACCCCTGATAAAGACTATCTCCTGTCAGATGCCAGGGAGGCGGCAGCTAGAGCCGGGCCTCTCCAGCCTTAGCCTCTGTATCCCAAGGGTCGGTGACTCCCACCCAGGGAAGGGAAGCCTCAGGTAAGGCACAGACTGCTTTCTGATCCTTCTCATAAACCCTCAGAGGGTTAGAACAGACTGCAGTTAGAGCAGACCCTCAGGTGGGGTGGGAGAAAAGTGAGCTTGGTCACTGAATGGCTCTCCTAAGGATTTGCAAGAACATAGGGTGAGTTATTCCGATGAGTTCCCATGACTCATTAATAGTCTAACTTACAGGCTCTTAAAAGGAGAATGGTCATATAACTGAAGGCGGGGTTGTAAAGGGAAATTAGAAACGAAACAGTGAAACTTCTCTGAACATGAGCTAAGCGTAGTGGGTGCACGCCTTTAATCCCAGCACTTGGAGGCAGAGGCAGGGGGATCTCTGAGTTCAAACCCAGCCTGGTCTACAGAGTGAGTTCCAAGACAGCCAGGGCTACACAGAAACCCTGTCTCAGAAAACTTTCTCTCCCTCCCTCTCTCTCTCCTGCTCTCTCTCTCTCTTATGCTCTCTCTCTTGTGCTCTCTCTCTCTCTCATACACACACACACAATTTCTGAACATGTAAGGACCAAAAATTAATTCAAAATCAAGTGCAGTGAATCTGAGGTGGCAGTCGCCCACAGTACAGTGTAAGACTTCACCAAATAGCTGTGAGTCTGAACAAAATATATAAACATATGCACTTTTGTACTGTGCTTACCATCAGCCAGTCAGTACAAGTGTACTTCGCTCCTCTCAGGTTCACAACTACTGCGTGTTACGAATTGCAGTGTTTTTGTTTGTTTGTTTTTTATGGTACAGGCAATTTTAATGATTTAATCATGGAAATCTTCCTACTTAAACGTAGAAACGTCTTCCTACTGTCATTGCTCAGCACGAGAGTATCAAATTAGTATATTTTGGATCAAACTGTTTTAGAGTGTTTGATTTTAAAAATTCCTGACTCAGCTACTGACTTGCTTTTTTTTTTTTTTTTTTTGGTTTTTCGAGACAGGGTTTCTCTGTGTAGCCCTGGCTGTCCTGGAACTCACTCTGTAGACCAGGCTGGCCTCGAACTCAGAAATCCGCCTGCCTCTGCCTCCCAAGTGCTGAGATTAAAGGCGTGCGCCACCACCGCCCGGCCTGACTTGCTTTTTATTAAAAAAAAAAAAAAATTCATCATTAAATGAACTCCAGCTTGAGATTAGGACACAATTTCCAATAATTTCTGAAATGACTTTAAACACATTTCTGCCATTTTGTATATGTATTTATGCAAGGTGGCATTCTTAGCATGGATGATTATAAAATCAAAATATTGCTGGAGTCTATAAAACACTGAAGATACCCTTTGTCCCACAGCTCAAATATGCAGCTAGTATTCTTTATGTAAAAATGTAAATACACTATTCCTAGTAGTATAAAAATCCACTTGAGAATTTAACGGCGAAAATTATATGTATAACAAAGAACTGTTTTAAAATACATTTCTTTATGATTTTTTTATCAGCAAATGTCTGATTTATATACTTATTTTAGATATTCACCCACCCAGAACAGTATACAAATTTCACAGGTGCTAGAGGTTTAGAGTAGGAAAAGATTAGGACCCCTGTCTAACGAAGTCTTAACTCGGTGAGATCATGACCTACCCCTCCCCTATCAGTTAGAACCACGCACAAGCTTTCCGTGTAGACTCCCTGGTCCTTGTTTAGACCAACACTCCACAGCTCTGACATCGCTCTTGAAAACCAAGTGACCGAAGATGATGGCCAGAAACCATCTGCTGGCAACTAACCAGCCTATAAATAATGCTCCAATCGTGTTCTCAGAATGGCTGTCTCCTCCTACAACTGTCAGCATCTCTTCCTGCATCTCCCGATTTCACACCGGCTTCCTCCCTCCTTACCAAGAGGATCACGGACCTCATGGACCAGCCTCGTTCTGACCTCAGATTCTTAGAGCAGAAATAATCCTTGGGGGATGGGGTAGGGTCATCACGGGTCACTCAAGAGAGTCCTCTTCAGTAATTTCATAGGTGTGCACCTTCAAGATGTCAGAGCACTTTATGGCCAAGAGTTTTTTATTAATCTCTGCATCTAATATAATACGTAGAACAGTATAGTGTAATTGAACTGAATCCTGCCTCACATTTGACACGTTCCCACCAGTTCCACTCCTGGGAGCTATCGCCAGTTTTGATGACTCATTTGTTCCTTCAAACTTACTTCTTGTAGCTCTGAGAAGGGACAAACAGTGGACTTAGACCCGCCATCCCCTTTGCTCTCATCCGGTCACCTGGGCTGGGAATAAAAATCACAGATTCCCCATGACAAGACCGAGGTGAGCTTCAAGCTAATGCAGACCACAGGACCCCTTCAAAGGGAATGCCTTTTAGAAGTCCTTTCTGCTTACTGCCTCCTCTCTGGGTACCTCTGTGTGGACTTCTCTGTCTGAAAGTGGTTTTGTGGGACTGACGCATGCTCTCTTTAATCAAACTGTAATTTCACGAACCTAGCATAGCCCTACAACATGATTTGGCAACTCAGTTCAGAGGTGACAAACTGTGCCGTGTTGTGATGTGATTTGGCTTTTCTCTGAAATTCATAGCCAAGCCATGTTATCCGACAACTGTAGCATTATGTATGTCGGTTTAGATGATTAGATAAACAGTGTTTAACAGAGCAGGGATCTGTGGCACACGCACCAGGTAATGAATGAGAGGAAAAAACCCTATGCAGCTGGACCTAGACATTACTTCAAACATCATGACGTCACCTAAGACCAGAATGGGGGTGACGGTGACATAATTGGAGTCTCCCCTCCTCTTCTGTCTCCTCAAGGACTCTAAACATAGGGAAATCCCCCAGATACCATTTCCTTCCCCATATAATATAAGGTCTCCCCAGGAACAGACCTTACCTACTTCAACTTCAATCCCAGAGCAAAGGATTATCAGTCAGTGATCTCTGTCTATATAGTATGTATCCTGCAAGCTTTAGACTGTGGTTGTAACTGAGCAGGGAACAGACAGTGTGTTGGCTTCAAACACGGCCTCTTCCAGTGGCTCCATCCTTTCAGCTCTGTGCTACCACCACCCCTAAAAGACTTGTGAGAGATGCTTCTATTCCCTGTGTCTGTAAACCTCTAGCCGTATCCACTTTCTCACCCTACACCAATATTTTCAAGCAGTCACAAAGCCCAGGCTAGTTCCCCCGTGAACGTCCCCGGGATCCGCTCCTCCCTGTGCCTTCTTGCCATTATTTCTTAAACTGAGCGTCAGCATTGCCCTTCTGCCTGGAAGTGATTTTTATTAAAAACAGTGTTTGCATTGTCAGGAAAAGAATCCACTTGGGACAGTCTGAGTTCCCATCAGAATGGGGCTAGCGCTGCAGTGGATTAAGACCAAGCATCGTGGATGATTTACCACTAAGTGAGAACAAAGATCACAGAGTAAAGAATCTTGAGAAGTCAATTTTTAGAGACTTCTACATATGCCTTTACAAACAACTGAGTGAGCTCACAAAACAGGACTACGAAGTTGGCTCTCTTGGGAAGGTAAGCGCAACTAACTTACATATGCCTGTCAATCAGCTCATTAAAAGCATTCCTTTTAGTGGTGATAACATACCTAGAATGTTTGATTCACCATGTTAGTAATTTTTATGTGGACAGTTCAGTGGCTTATCTGCCTGTGGTTTCCACACACCATCCATCCACAGGACTACTGTCTTCTTGAGAAGCTGAAACTAGGTGCCCATGAAGCAAGAACTTTTTTTCCCTAAATCCCCCAAGTTCCTGGACACCCCAATTCTGTCTTCTATCTCAGAGAACCTAATTGCTCGAAGTACCCACATGTCAATGGAAGCTAACCTTTAATGATAATAACATATCAAGAGATTGGGGTGAGAGAGCTAGAGAGATGGCCTAGCTATTAAGAGAACTGGCTTCTCTACTAAAGGACCCAAGTTCCATTCCCAGCACCCAAATAATACCTCACAAGCATCTGTAACTATAGTTCCAGGAGATCCAATACCCTCTCTGGATTCTGCAGGCATCAGACAGATGCATGCACGCATGCAGGAAAAACACTTGCATATAAGTAATTAAATAAAATAA